CATATTTTACTATGGTTCAAACACCATACTCCCTGTTTGTTCTCGCAGTACGACTCTATGAAAGATGATTTGTCATTGGCCTCCAAGTGCGATACAGACCGGCTAATTCCAAATTTCGAAATTAAATTTTTTTTAAATTTAGCAAGAACTAACGAATTTAATGCAAACGTTCGTGCATAATTCGACAAAATGGCTATGTACTCATAGTTTTACTACAGTGGGTGTGAATAATTCCAAATTAAATTAATAAATAAATAATTTTCGTAAATTTCTATTTCCTGGTATGCATCAGTTGACTTTCTGCAATCAAGTGTTTGTCGCGTAACCCGATTGATTTAAATCTTACATGTTTTACTTGCTTAATGTTGCAATAGATTGTGGTAGAACCAGGAGACAGCTACCTTTCATATAGCGCTTTGCTGTATTGCATTCTCTGCTATAATTTTCGTGTTTTGATTGTGCTCTGATTTAGTCTGATCGACTTTTCTAGGGGTATTTTCGATGTTCCATTCGTGGCGCAGTCAGCGGTTCATGCTGACCATCTTGTACTTTTCATTCGCGTTCGGATCGTCGTTGTCACCCTTCATAGCGTCTCAGTTCGTTTATCACCAACGACAGATTGATGCAGCGAACCTGACATCGATGGCGACGTTGAAACCTAGTTTATCGTCGCGGGTTTCGGTCGTTAGGCGCAGCGCAGAGGCTTTCCTAAGCGCCACCTCATTACCGCATAATGGATCAGACATCGGTCAGCCATTTGGCGATGCAAACCACTCTACTGTCATCCCATGCTACAACGACAATTGCACCACGATGATCGCTGCCACCACGAAGAAGATTACCAAGCCGAAGGTGGCAGACGGGGCCGCACTGAGCGCTGAAACCAGTTACGCGAACAGGAAGATGACGGCGCTGAAGCTAAGCGAACAAAAGACAAAGAACCTTGTTCCGAAGGAGCCAGAGAATAACAAAACGGGCGAGGCGAAGAACCACGTTAAGTATGAAACGGCGAACGAGACTTTCACGAAGCCGGAGAATTTGACGGCCAACAATATCACCTCCGTGATGAGCCCTACAGCCGCGTCAGCCGTCACTACCACATATGCATCCACAACGACCACCATCTCCGTTACTCTCACGACCTCTCAGTCTAGCCTAACTTCAAGTGTTATTCCGACGACGGTCGCACGCACGGCCTCGCAAGCTAGCAGTAGCATTTCGTCAGGCACGATTTCTTTCGAGTTCTCCTCGTCCAGCCTGGCCCCGGTCACACATGACCACAGCGTTTTGGAAAAGTTACATTACAGACTGTGGGCGTTCGTCATGTGGGCGGTGAGCCGATTCAACAACGCGTACATGTCGTACATGGTTGTGTCTCTGTTGACGGTCGCTTTGGCGTTTCTCACTTTTACCATCTGTTGTTGCAAGGGGTTGGGTTTGAATGCGGGACAGCCAACGGGTGACCTGGTGCTCAGTGGACTGGAGTTCACGCAGTTCCGGGCGCATCAGTGCACTCTCGTATTCATCGTGTTGCTAGCTATGTTCGTCAGTGGCATCGAGGCTCTAGCATCCAGTCTGTTGACCGTGTACACGATTGTCGGTCTGGGGGACAGCCAGTATACTGGCGCGGTTCTGACCGGCACGTTCTTCTTGTCTGTTGCTGCCGCCCGGCTACTGCTCATTCCTCTGATCAAGTACTCAACCAGAATTATCGCCGTAAATTTAGCTCTCTTGTTGGTGTTTGCCGGTGTTCTGGTGTTCAGCGCTGAGCTGATGTCTTTCTGGCTAGAGGTGACAGCTGTCGGTCTTGTCATCGGTTCGCTGCTACCCAACATCTTCTGCTGGCTTCACGACCAAGTGGCCCTCGTACCCTGTTTCACCACCGTATGGCTCATCTCCTGCCACGTTGGCTGGTTGGTCGCCCCTGTGTCCGTCATCACCGTAATGGAGAGCCACTCATTTCGCGACTTAAAGTTGGCCATTTTGGTATTGGCGCTGCTCGCCTGCTTGTCTTTCATCGCCCTGAACCGTATCGCCAAGCAGTCCAGTCGTCTCTCTTTGGCCAGACACCTGGCGTTCGAAATGAACGGCAACGCGAACCAGTTTCTGTCAGAGTTTAGCCTTTCTGACAAGCTCGACGACATCTTCAACGATCACGACGAATTCCTCTACTTCGATCGTGCAAGAGACTTGAAGATCGTACATTGAACGGAAGAGCAGCCATTTGTTTTGTCTGCTTAGAGTCGTATCTTGTAGTGGCCGTCCAGTCAGTTTTCTGAATCCGCTTCATGAAATTATGCAACACGTCGCGCATCCGCATGTGTATCGATCAGTTACAGTAGTATACTTGCTCGCTTTATGTTTCTGTGTTGTATTCAGTAATGTGTTTGTTGTTTTCAACGAGTCATTCCACTTAGTAGTTGTACAGAATTG